GGCGGGTAAAGACGTAATTCGCTAGCATCAATCACTTAGGCGTGCACGCAGAGATGCTATGGCATTGGAGACCGCGATTCTCGAACGAATGGGCCGTAAATCGAGTTTACGCCCAAACTTGCGCACATTATCACCTTCGTCATGCGATCATCGCTACCTTGCTCCACTAGATAAGAAGAATGAAGAGACCTTGGTAGAACTCAGCTGTTCAAGCTTTTTACGACCTTCTGGTGCGTGGCTTCGCGATTACCGATTCGTTACGATAGGGTGAAAAACAAACCAGTGGAAGTCAGAAGGGTGTAGGAAACTTATTGAAGACGCGAGAGAGAGTGGAACACCGATTCCCGGAATACCGATACGGCTTTATCGATATTCGATTTTATTACGAACGATAACTTAACCCATTTACTGTTATGATTCCTATCTAGAAATCATAAAAAGTTATATATATATACACCGTAAATTTTATGCATTATGATTCCCAAACTGGGAGTGTTTCATCGAATCCATCAACCTAAAATTTCCTTTGGATAAATAAACAATTGTATGTACGTTCTTTTTTTAAATTTCCAAGTGCAGTCTAAAAGCATAGATTTATCGTAAAAAGTCGTAGGAATTGGAAGGAAAAACGAAAGTACCGTTTGATGGATGATATTCTGGTTTATCGTAGTATATTCTTGGAAAAAGTCCTTGCTACATGGACTACCTATGACCGCCTATAACGGGCCTGTGTAAATGCGGTGATTGCAAATCTTCGTCTATTTATACATTCAGTGACACACAAATTTACAATCATTATGAATACAGGGAACAACATGGTCGCACGTAATTCGTAACAATATCGGATCGAATAGGTTGTAATTATTTTTAGTCGTGTCGGGCTATGTAATTAAAGGATTGTTTATTTAAATAGGTTTCGCAAGTGTTACATGCTACTTAATTTTGCATTAGAAATCTGTGTATCCGATACAGTTTGTTTCTTGTGCGAGATCCAAATATTTGAGTAAATTATTAAATTGAAACAGGACAATAAATTAAATTTTCATTTTAATTAGGATGTAGTATATTGTATGAAAATTATATCGTAATATGCAAGGTACTCATATGGTTTTAATCGAGATAATTGTACCTATTATAGTTACATAGTAATTCTAATTTGAACTCCAAATCCACTAAAGATGAATTTATTAACAAACGATAAATATATATTTATCAATCAAAAAATATGAACTGTTCATACGTTGTTTTAAATTGTCCTTCAAATTTAGGGCTCGAAGTACTATCTACTCGGTTGGTCGGCCACTCCTTTTCTAGCCGCAATTTTTAGGAATGATTTTAAGTTTTTAAATTTTAAGTTTACATACGCGTCAGAAACGATTCTCGTATATTAAATAAATCGCTGAAACAGCCGTATTTATATAAAAATTGTAGAGTTGATAATCCGGATTGTTTAGTCCGATAAAAGGTACATCCAACAAACGAAAAATCCAGGCTCATATATCGGCTCAATCGTTCTAATCCAATCAATCATACGGTAGCATCCTCACCGATTCCAAAAACAATATTTGTGTGATGGTTGTACGCGTTGCTTTTGTCTTGCCGCGGAATCGATATTTTATTTTAAAATGGCTGCATATATGATATACGAGCATCGAATACATTTTTGTATTGACATGCGTATAACCTGAGGATTTATGTAAAAGCGCAATAAAATTTATAAAAATGCAGATATCGTGTCATACAGAGTTCGACGCAAAAAATTGTATAGAATAGAATAAATTCTGATTCGCACAAATCATCCATACTGAAATGTAATGAATTCTTTATTTGAAACAATTAAGATTTATTTTTAAAAAGCTACTGAAATTTCATGACTATATATACGTTTCCTAAATTAATATTAAGGAAAAAGTTTGTTACACAGGGCAGATTAACTTCAAAGAAGCTGAATGCTTTAATTATAGAATTTCTCTAAACTCCTAAGCATTCAAATTTATTTAAACCTCGAAATATTCTCTAATATTTCTCTCCATTTCTATTTCTCCTTTTTTCCATTTCTCAAATCTCTACTTCTTATAATTAACTAACAGACTTTATATTGATCAATATCGCTGATTGATACAAGTCCTTCGAATAATGAAGACGGCCAATTAAAACAAATCTAGATAATAAAGAAAATCGACGAGTTGGAAAATCGATTTGATTGTACTAATCCGATTAGTCGTACTTCAACCTCTCCGCAGATTTTCCCGTTAACCATTGCCCGTAACAATTGTATTCAGCTTTACTAGTTAAAAAAAAATATATAGAAGGAATCAGATTTAAGTATCAAGTTATAGTCATTTTTAATATACTCGATCGCTTGTTAATCCTCCTACGGTTCATAAAAGATGAGAGTTGCCATTCCGTGTGAAGCGCGTTACGGTCTCTTCCGTTAATGAGTTTCTTAGTTATCAAGTTAGATAGGTTTCCATTTTATTCTGATTACGTTTAATCTTTTAGGAAGTAAAATTTTTCAAACATCTCTTCCTACATATCATAAAATAGCTTAATTAAGATTGTTCGAGGCCATTCTAAATTAGTAAATTAGGTGCCCCGAATAGCTTGGTATTAAACATAATGCATCCAAAAGATGTCCCTCAATCAGGATTAGAGGCTTATATTAGACAAGGTCATGACAGTTATCTCTAATTGATTACTGTAGAAAATGGTTTGGATCAATAAATTACATAACACGTTAGCAAAACATTAATAAGAGTAAAATTAATACAAATTAACATCTTATTTAAAAATTAAATAATAATTACTTTTAAAACATCACTGAATCCCGATGTTCACTTAATGAATCTGTATCGTATTTTACCTTCGGTAACAAGCTTGAAGCAACCCTATCCTTGAAACATTGTCTTGTCTTGGAACAACAAGAAATAAATATAGCAAATCACTTAACTATTACCAATACTTCTTTTTTTGTTACCCAACTCGGCAATACCGTACTTACACATAGTCTCACTGACGCTAACTAGATTGAAACTAAATACCCTAACCACGTAGGTAAATAAATGTAAAATATTTAAATATTTAATTTTTTTAAAATTATAATTATATAATCTCTTTCGAAGTGTCGAATAAGCCTACGATTAAATACCTACTACGCTGATGAGTCACTCACAGGATCCCAGTAATCACAATGCAAAAACCTAAAGTAGAGGATACAAATTCTCAGAAGTAGGGAACCAAGTTTAAAACCTGAAGGCGTCGACATCCGCTGATGTAGTGGGAAAATCATTGTTCGTCAAAACGATGCGGACACGCGAACGCCTAATGAAGCATCCTACCCGTTGGAAACTCATTCTATTTGCATTATTCGAGGCGCTCGTTGTATTATTATACGATCCAGGTGGTTGCGACGAGTTCCTGTCATTATGGGCGTTGAAGACACGATTAATAAAGACGGCAGAACAAAACGCTCTTCAACTCGAGACTCGTTTATGTGAAGATGTGTCTAACGCAGGCATGAGCAGCTCATGACCGTATATTGTGATGGAAAAACTATTAAGCGTGTGTGTATGTATGTGTGTGGAACTCTGTATATTAAATCTGACAAATTCACAGCTGTCTTGGATCTAATTATTGATTGTAATTATAATAAATATAATATAATTATTCATCCCAGCTATAGTAAAATATATCTATTTTTAAAGCGCACATTCTCTTCCAATTTTCATCAATTTTTCCTAAATACATCCTACAGAACCAGCTTTAATTTTTGAGTAAATTTTTGTTACATTTTATGTATCAATATCAAATTCCCCAAAATAGAAACGTAGTCCATGTTTTAGCGCGTGCGAAAATTCATCTGGCTCTCATTTTCTCGTGGGCGACTCGCAACGCTATATGTTACATTAATCACTGTGCATGTGCTTTAAACGAAGCGTTATTCTTCATCTGCATCAACTTCTGCCGACGTTGCGAAAATCATCTATGACTTTTTGCCGTCGGACTTTAAATGACTCACCGTGTGACATATTGTAGGCTTAAAAGGCATGGACAATAAACATTTTACCTACGCTCTTTTCTGTTTCTTTTTTCGTTCCTTTCTTTGCCGTGAGTGAAGGCGCTTGTTAGGCAAAACGAGCAACTTTGTGAATGTTTTATTATGTCGCGATTTATCAAAGAATGTTCCTACTTCTTTTTCTTAGTGGATTTGTGGATTTCTAATTAATGGATTTTTAATTAATTACATAACAGAGAAACATGAAATTTGTGACGTTCATTTATATCGAAATGATCAACTATCTTAAAATTGGAAGATAGAACAATGGAATTTTATTCTTTCGTCATTAGGTAGATCTTCAACCGTATTGAAGTGTATCTATTGTTGATCCATACGAATTAAAATGTTTGATCGTGTTCACTTATCTTCCAGATTTAAATCGATACTGGAAAATATTCTTTATTTGCCGTGCTACTCATTTCATTAGAATTCTCTCAATTCTTCAAAAAATGTAATTATCTTATCGAGAAACCGTTCTAAACACTGTTTCACACAACTCGAAATTATCCAAAGTTGCGCAATTAAGGATCTGGATGGTGTCTATCTTCCACTATCGATCGGTACCATGTAACAGCTTATTCGATTTAACTGGTATACTAATTTCGTGAGTTCCTCGCGTGCTTTGCTAATCTCTAGACGAAAAGACATTCCTTCCCTTGATTAAAATTTTTAGCTACGTTAGGCGCCTTATCTCGCTGTCTCTTGTCTAATTTAATTAACTACGAGCTTAGGCCTTTGAACGTGTCTATGTCTGGTAATTAACGTTGAATTTCGTTATATTACCTCAAAGTCTTTTCTATTAACTGTCCGTCAGTGAATCATGGCGGTTTAATTGAAAGCGAAATCTAACGAATAAAAAAGAAAAAAGAACATATGAGAGGGATTGTTGCGCTTTCTTTAGAAGAAATTGTTCCGTGTTAATGTCCTGTGAATTTTCTCGCAGAAGAATGGACGGAAACGTTTCCGTATCAGCTGCTGGTTGGAACGGGAGTAGCGTTGATGGCTCTATTACTGTTAGCCGCCGTGAGCTTCCAATGTTCTTCTACCTGGCGATGGTTAATGAGGGTGAGACGGCACATGAAGGAGCAAGACGCTGAGAGCGACCTATCGCAACAAAACGCTATACGTATCAGTCATTCTCTGCCGGATCTCCAATCAGAGCCAATCACTCACGAGTACGTCCAAGAGCAAAAAGATAGCAAAAAGGTATGAGCGATAATATGTGTACAGTAGAAACGAGCTGCTTTCTTCTTTTCTTTGTGTGCTATGAATACGCTTCATGTGTACCAATTATGAATATGAATTTATTAGTCTAGAAGAGAGTAGTGCGAAGTTTTACTTTGCGTATGCTGTAGATACGAATAATGTTTAAGAATATTCGAAGAATTTTAAATATACATTCAAAATCAAAGAATATAGAAAATTTCCGCATCTTTGTATGTCGATATTCGCTTTATTTAAAGATAACGAAGATTGCGACGTAATACGCAAATCGAACACTCTACAGGGATAGCAATCTTATTTTTCACTTGATAACGTCAGTTGATCTCATCTACTATCCATCATTAATATCCTACAGCAAAAACACTAGGAACTACGGCGAAGTTATGAAGCCGTTAATAAGAATAAAAAGTACTGAACTTAAAAGAAAATTAATAGACAGGTTTTTACGAAACTCGAAGATACTTTCGAATATCGCTTGAGTATTACTTTTATTAGCACTCAAGCTTCAATTCAATTTCAGCAAAATTATTTTCTTAAGAAAGTAAAATTTAGAAATTCAAGTAACCATCTTTCTTCCTTGTAGGTATTATATACGAAAATTATATTAAAAAGATTATTCCACTGTCTAGTTTGTTTACCGCGCAAAGTTTGCTTGTAACAATACCGAAACGGGTAAATGGAAATTTCAAGTAGCGAAACATTACCGAAGAAAATTGTTAATTGAGCAGCTAACGAAGAGGCGGTCGACTTTCAGGATAAACTCCTGAGATATTAAGACGCAATGAACGTGTTACGCTGTGGCTTGTTTATAGGTATTGCGCCAGACGACCCTACCCATTGTACCGATGAGACACCAGAGTTTTCAAAGACAACTCTCCCATCGTCTCGATCTACCGATTAAGTTTAGCATTTGCAGTCTGGAGAATCGTAGCGATTCCAGCCTTGGCTTAATCAAGGTACGCTTAGCATTAGTAAATCCCTTTTGTTTCTTACTTTTATAGAAGTGAAATACAGTTAATCAGAAAATCTATCACAGAATTCTAAAGGAAAAATTTGATTTTAAACGAAGAAACTAAAAGCAATACAACAATAGTAACAACAATATAAACAATAGTAGCGTCAAAAAATTTAAACGATTTAATAGAAGTTTTTTCTTCGAACGATCTTCCGAAAGAATTTGACACAGACTAGACAATGTACCAACGAAGCGACGTGCAGACAAATGAAACAAACTAGCAAATTCAATTTCATGGAAGTTTTAAACGTGCGTCTCCGCATTTGCAGCCGGAACTTTACAAAAAGGAGCTGGGACAAGAGGACGCGGATAGTTGCAGTACCACGGAGATGGAATACGCTGGCAAGCTACATTTTGCTTTACGCTATGACAAGGAGATGGAGGGTCTTGTGGTCAAAGTGAGTTTCACGATATTCCAACTGGACCTATATTTTGTTTGCAGTCATTCGTATATATCATGAAAGCATTCCAGGTACAACTGGAGTTGTCATTGTTAGTGTTGCTTAAGTTATGCCCCAAGGATTAAGATCTAACTTTCCGCGGTCTACCTCTTGAGACAAGCGAAGAGTATTTTGATTTACGTCGTTGGCTGTATTAACTTCACAGAGAGAAATATTGGAGTAATTATAATTACTGACAGATAAACCACGCCCCTTTGAATGACTGATTAATATTTGTAGAGTTATTGATCTCAAGGAATTTCTCCCCATCTTTGCTTCCCTTCTTCGTCGTTTCAACCTCAGATCTGCTAATTCACTACTAACAAAAGTATAAGCACCCGAACTCAAAATTAAAACACCTTTTAAGCCATTAATTCTTGAAGGAAAGGCACGAGGCACGAAATTAAACTATCGTGCCGCGACGCGACGCAGCAGTGATCCGACCACGAACACAGTTATCGGCGTATCGAAAACCGCTGTACGTGCCTGGTAGTCACGCTCTTATTCCTTTATATCGAGTGTCTCTATCGACGGAAGCTGGTGCCGAGCTTTTTTCCAAAGCGACGCACGTACCTCGCGAAATCAACGTGGAACACAGAAAATTCTTTTTATTGGCACGATGACCGACATGCGCGCTCTAGTTTCATCGTTTGTTTCAAAATCATATTGTTCTCGATTTAGGATACGTTCGATCACGTGCAGCCGCTTCAATTAAACTGCACATTCGTCCAAGGTCGTGACGCGTCTGAGAAAAAATTTTCAAGATAGATAAAGACGGGGATGCATAAACGAATCGATGATGCATAATCCGATCGAATCAAAATTCATTTGGTATTCATCCTTACACGAACGATTCGTGTCCTTCGTCGATGATTTACGTCAAAGAACGATCACCGCTCTTCTCAATACATAATTCCTTCTCGAATCTAGGTACTAATCCTGCACTGAATATTCATAGCCGAGAGTGGTATTACCTAAGAACTGGTTTTCCAATAGAGAATCTGTACTGAAATCAATTATGGAACTTAAGCGGATATTTGTAGGTTATCGGTAGTAGATATTGTTAACATATTATTAGTAAAATAGCTTCTGGAATATCGAGTGTAGAGTAAATGAATAGTGAATACATGAATTAACAATGTAAACTAAATGTAACAGAATACTAGGGATATACCGACTAGTGACCGGATAGTCGGTTATTTTTGTAGTCTGCAATTAATCGGTGACTAATCGTCGGCGAAAAAGGCTGATTGATCGGTCTTAAATTTTTGATTTTACTAATAATTTGATGAAGCATAGAAATCAAAATACAATGTTTCTTTATGTTATTAACATAATTTTAATTGTTTTTAATATGTAGTATACTTCCTTATGGATACATATTTGTACGTAACATAAAAGATTAAAAATAATAATTAGTATTCATTGAGAGAAACTAAATAAGTACCAATTAACTAGAAGCATTGCCCATTATTTCTTAATTTTAATTTCTTAATTAAAAAACCCTTCTAAAAGACGAAACAAGACGTAATAAAATAAATCTAACGAATAATGTTAAAAAATCTTTTTCTTAGGTTTCTTATATTATAAACTTGACACGTTTTGGAGCGATGTTTGAAAATGATCGACAGAGACGACTAGTCGGCCGAAATCCTAGTGCAACTCTAAAGAATACTTTTATCTTAATAAATATGATCAATTTTAAAAACCTTGAGGAAATATGAACATTGATAAGGACATTCAGGTTATCTTTAAATCATCCACCCTTTAAAAGGGGAAGAAGTAGGAAGAAGTAGAAGCATTAAGCTCTATCCCGATACCTTCAACACGTACTGTTTGAAACCAAAAATTACTCTCGTGTAAAAATCAGAAGCGCACATATACATATACACATGATACAATTATTGCGAAAAACTTTGAAGCTTCCAAGAAATAAAAGTAATATTCCAAGTAATGGAAACGACAATTACACTATTCCACGGTGCATAATTGACCCAGTCGTTCGAACAACCACCATTGTGGCGAACGCTGAAAATAGATCGTCAATGTGAGGACACCGATTCTATTACAGAGACTGTCAGAATGAGAACGTTTTCGTGATGCTATACGTGTGTAGGCAAATTCAACTCGCAATTGCACTCGAGCGAGATAATTACCTGGTCGCCATATTTAGTGTGAGCTATTCGATAATGATAATAAAGTATCTACGTGATGGTACTATGATGGACAGTGTTCTTGGTTAGATTAGCACCCGATGCTATCGTAACTCTGTCGTCGCTGTTTGACTAATAAATAACGTGTCGACGTGTTAGAGTTCACAAAATGGAATTGAAGGTGATTGAATTCGTTCTAAACAGGGCGGAACCCACGTTCCGTGGCACAGAAATGTAAACGCGACTGGATGTATGCATGCCACGTAATCGGTCTCATTCATAAATTTAGTCGAGGACGAAAGTATAAAGGAACGCTGGCAAAACCCAGCGGGACCTGAATTTTTTTATTTCCCTCCTTTTCGTCAACCCTTCCATCGCTGCGCGATTGTAATAATATTCCAGATTAAATGGCATTAGGTTGAATAAGATGGGAATTAGGAACATTGTCGCATTATGCATCCATTTATTATTCGAGGAATTGTCAAGTATTGTAAAGAATTTATTCTATCGGCTTTTTGTTCAAAATTCAGTTTTTTACTATCTTTAAAAGTTAAAAGTTTTACTATCTTTAATACTTTTCATGTGCTGCGAATCTTTTATTTCTTTTGTTTAATTTTCAGAACGGGAACTTGTATTTTTCAGGTCCTAGATACAAATTTAAGCGAATCCCTTTGAATGTATAACATTTAATAACCATTGCCTTAAGTTAATGTTTTCTCAGTAGCTTAGTAAGTAGCAGCAGATATACAGATATATCAACTCAATATACTTAAATTTTTATTCGAGACACAGCTGACATCAATCTTGCACATTTCCATACATACAATACACTTCCCTTCAAACGGATCGGTTTCACAGTTTTCTGCATACCAAGTAGCTTCACAATTCCAGACAAATGGAACAGATGACCAGTCTCCCAATATTACATCGAAATATATTTATATAAGTTTCCGTTATACACTATATTCAATACCTACTTTTGCAAGTCGTTTCAAATTAGATTCTTATTCGTTACTTTATTATCCAACAGACAGTTCAAATCACCATCATATTATACCTATGAAGAACAAAAAATCATTTGCATACATGTACGTTTTTTAATGGGATCTTTTAAATCAGATCGACATGCTCGATCATTTGATACCAGTTCCCTTTATTGACAGTTCTTTCGATACGTTTCAACCGAGTTAATTAAGATATACGTATCAAAGGAAAGAACGTTTGGAAATATTTTAAGCAATCACTGTAATCCAAAAATATAATATCCCTTACAGATTCTAGAAGCTCGAGAATTACCAGTGAAGGATGTGACAGGTAGCAGCGATCCTTATGTTAAAGTGTATCTTTTACCAGACCGAAAGAAGAAGTATCAGACGAAAGTGCATCGAAAGAATCTAAATCCCGTATTCAACGAAACGTTTATATTCAGGTTAGCACACGCGATCGAACAAATTTTAAAATAATTGTATTAAAAGAAAAATTCCTGGACCATCTGTAGTTTTATAAATTATCATCTTACATGTGGACTTTTCATGATACCAATACAATTATCTGCCACCAGTGTATCGTATGAAGAACTGAGGGAGCAGTATCTTCAGTTTTCCGTTTACGACTTCGATCGATTTTCCCGGAACGATTTAATCGGGCAAGTGGTATGGAAGGAACTGCTGGACTGCACCGACCTCGAACAAGAGATTGAGTATACGATGGACATTCTGTGCGCCATGCAGGTAGCGAATATGTCACTGAAACGTGTTTTTTATCATTTGATTTTATTGAAATACTTTGACCGCGTGTTTCAGTATTTCAGCGTGTTTTAAAATTTCATAGTTTCACTTAGAGTACGATAATATTTCTATAAAGAGAAGAAAGAATGGATATGAATTTAAATTAGATGAAAATAGAACTCACGCTCTTTGCTTTAGTATTTAAAAATGTATTTAAAGAAAAAGAAAGATACACGAAAAGTAGAAGATAGCAGAGTAATATCTGTCCTAGTTGCGGAAAAAAATTCACGAGGTCTATACTTTGACCTCGACTTTGGACATCATCTTAGCCTCCTGTACTTTAGAAACTGAACCGGTTTTTGCACGTTCCTTTAGGACAAAGTGGACTTGGGAAAATTGATGCTGTCGCTCTGCTACCTACCGACTGCTGGCCGGCTAACAGTGACTGTAATTAAAGCGAGAAACTTGAAAGCTATGGATATAACAGGATCGTCAGGTAATTTGCTTGGAACTGTTCCCTCGCGATCGTCGATAAGCGGTAAAATGCGTGACGTGAAATTTTTTGCGTCGATAAGTGCGACTACGTTATATATTAATTTGTTTATTTTAGGCAACAAATCACAATTTTTATCCTTATATGACTGAGTATGTAATGTGATTTGCCTGTTTAAAAATAATTTGATACCCTCGGGTTATATAAATAGAATTATAGCATATTATATATACATATAGTACAAAATTGCATTCAATATAAGAGGAAGTGATGAACAACATGAGAATACAAGATTTATAAAATGTTCAAAAATGTATGCATTCTCGTCGCGATGGAAAATGTCATAAAATTAAACATTTCACTTATTTTGAATTATTAATACGTGCTCCGACAAATGTTTCAGAAGAACGTTCGCTAATCCGAATGAGAAATTTACATTATACTCTCTCATTAGAGAAAAGTAACACTTCCACTATTTTGCTAACAACTCGAACGAAAGAATTACAAAGAATATTGTCGTTTGTTTCATAAGTTGAACTTTTATCGTGAACCAGCAGTGACTCACGTAAAAAAGAGAACCACACACTCTCTCAACACGATGTTCCTCTATCATAAAGTTCGCTATAATACATCACTTAACATATTCTCCAAAAAACTACACTTCATGTCTTAACCAGCACCATTCTCACGTCCCATGCCATTATAAAAAAAAAAAAAAAAAAAAAAAACGCACAGAGAATCAATATTCCAACAACCATTCTCTCTCTATTCCTGCAATAACATGCAGAAAATACCTAACGTGCGACATTTTTAGACCCATACGTGAAGGTGTACCTGCTGTGCCAGGACAGACGAATCAAAAAGAAGAAGACCTCTGTGAAAAAGAACACGTTGTTTCCCGTGTACAACGAGATCTTGGTGTTCGACGTACCGGCGGAAAACATCGAGGACGTCAGTCTCATAGTAAAAGTAATCGATTACGACAGGTAAGCGGTATAGAAATGCGTTTTTCGTGAAACGCAGTTTCCATCGCAGATCAATCAACGATCGGCTACGACCTGATTTCCTTCGTAGAATCGGTTCGAACGAATTAATGGGCTGCACAGCGATTGGCGCTGATTTCATTGGTATTGGACGCGAACAATGGCTAAAAATGCTGGAGAATCCAAGGAAACCGGTGACGCAATGGTATCCACTGATGGAAACGGTTCCTGGCCATATTCCAGCTGTGAGTTCGGAACCTCTTCCAGTGAGTCTGAGCTGCTTGAACAGCAGGTAAGTGAATGAATAGCTTTTTGAACTTGTCAAAGTAATTTTAATTGGGAGTTGGTTAACATGTTTAGCTTTGAGTAGAAATAAAGACTCTTTGTATATGTGATATTTTAAAATAGGATCAAATTAAGATATTTAATTAAAAAAGAAGTTCCATACTAGTAATGAGATTTTGGCATTTTGATTCTTCTTTCAATTTTTTTTTCTTTAAATAGTAAAATTGGAAAGATATTTTGACTAAGAAAATCTTTAAAGACGATTTTCAAGATTTGGAGAACAAATTTGAGTCATATAATGAAAAGAATATTACGCGAAGGTGAGAGAGAATTAAGTCCCAACATGACAAGATCATAATTGAAAGTATCTGTTCTGAAAGACCGCTGCATGTTGGAAGAAAAATTGAAATATCACAATGTTTTTTTTTTACTTATATAATATACACACAAATAAAATAAAAATAAAACGTTTTTAATACAAAACAGAAAAAGAAAAAACAATGTGTCTCAAAATGATACAGTCACTTTATAATATTTCTAATAGTTTGTTAATTGCGTCAATGTTGATAGATTATTCTGAAATATGTTTCGACAACCTTTAGCTTTGATATTACTTGAAGTAAGATCTAATAAGATCTGCTCTAATAACACCGTAAAATGCATTCCACGTTGTCACACTTCCACTACCTTATTAGCGTTTTGAAAATGTTCTTTCTCCTTTGTGAATATTATGACAATAGTTTCTTCAGACATCTGGACAGTCTAAATTGAATTTCTTTTTCTCACTCCAGATGACATTTTCTCATTTGCTTTTCCAAGCCATATGTATAATGTGGTCCAGTTCAACCGGTTTGTTTTATTTGTTTGCATTAGAGATGGTTGCGTTTTCATACGCTCACATTCAACTTGTCCTTGACCCGATGTGGTAACATCTTCGTACTGTTGATTTTCCTGGTCACTTGCTGAACACTTATTATGGAATTGCTCATTTCTCTTAGAATTCTCCTTTTTTGATAAGTTGTTAATGTACATATGCATCACCTGGGTTAATCACCATATGCATCGTCAAATTAAAAAAAATCCGAAATTATATGCCGCGAACGTTTCATCCTTCTTGCAATTTCCCTTAATAGAACGATTATTTCTAAACATTTCGATAATCCGATTTTTTGCAACTTCTGTTAATGCGTGTCCTCTTGCAATTTTGTTAATTGAATACTCTCCGTTGTTAACAACATGCCTAATGAAGCAAGTAGTGTATCACGTTACATATTATTATAATTTTGTTTAACATATAGGGTATCGTACAATGAGAAGTATCATTTACTAGGATGATTCTATCATTTTGGGACAAACCTTAGATTACAAGATTAAAGAGAAGAATTAAGCAATCTCAACTTACTTTGATTGAAATATTGGGCGATTAAGAGCGGACGTACGTAGAAGTAAAACATCGATATGGAATAGCGCGAATCTTTTGCAGATGAAAACAGCACGGCTGGAATAAGTATCGCGGGAAGTCGCAGTTCTTGTCGGACGTCGGCTTGGGCGTTGTTTCCTTCTGTCGTCATTTAATGCACACCGCTTGACTGACTTAAGTACAATTCCTATCTTAAAAAAGAAGGGCTCGAGAAAGAAACACGAAAGAAACAAAACAAACCAAACCAAAAATAAAAAAAAGCAAAAATGTAAAAAAAATCAGAAAAAAGACATAACACACTCTGTGCTTTTTGGAATATAATCAAGCGTGGCGAGCGTGAAATAGTAAACAAACAGTAGATCGTAGTAGAATGTTTGTAAAAGCGTAATATGATAGCGGAGTTGATGGATGGCCAGGTTGCTCAAACTATCTTTGCAAAAAAAGTAACGAAAAAATATACATATATATAAGTATAAAAAAAACAATATTAAGAAGGAGAGAAAGAGAGCAAGATAGAAATAAAAGATAGAATAGTTTATTTTTTGAGAACGAATCCAGGCTGGTCCTGTATTCAAGCGTACACACGAATACGAAATATAGTTTAACAACTATACCACAAGCATATATATTTTATCATCAAGAGAAAAGAGATTCATTGACCCAGTAGATGGTTGAGAATGGAGCAAAATTTTATGATGATCCAAAATAACGGAACGCGCGAATTGTTCGCTGTTCCATACTTTCACAAACACCTTTTTTTTCAATCGAACAATACGACCAAGATACCAGGATAACGATTGGGATCCCTATAGACACGTGAAATTTCTACAGACAATATTGGAAAATAATTGTCTGGCGGAATATAAAGAATAGTAGAATTGTGAATAGAGAAAATAAGCTTTGCTATATACACAGCACTTCGAAATAATTGGTAAGAACAAAAGGAACGAAAGGTAATACTCGTCGGCGATTTAAAATTTATTTGTATAGCATTATCTTTGCTTCCTTAACTGTACCTGAATTGTAAATCTTCTTTCATTTGGATATTAGTATCCTTTGCTGTTCAAAAATATTATTACAAATAATTTGTATTTTACGAAACAGAAATATTCTGCTATAAGCTCCGATTCAGTCGGATCATTTATCTCTGCATGCCTATGTAACGAGTATCGTAAATATTTAAGCTCGCTGAGATCTACAAATACGATGTCAACAACGCATAAAGTTTGTTAGTTATACAATGTGACACATATATGGTTGCATATTACTTATGTACGTGACACTATTGCACAGCAATTATGCTGCACTCGTTGGCTTGCTATACAATATACGAAATAAACAACACGATACATACAATAGTCGCTTCAGATAGCGATCTTCGTGAAATCCACCGGATAGGTCCTATCGTGTAATCAAAGCACCTCTTTCGTGCTTCCGAAGTTAACTCTTTCTGTCGATTAATCTATGCATGATGCCACGAAGAAATATTCTAAGGACAATAACCGATTTAACCAGATAAATCCTGTAGACTTCGAATAGAGCAATATTTCCTAAACGTAAACGTATCCGTGAACGTTACTAATCGTTGTTCTATGTGAATCGTGTGACACGAACACAACGGGAAGCAACCAAACGAAGAGCAGGATAATATAGACGAAAAAACAAGATAAAAATAGATGTAGCGAAAGCGACGTTTACTAATTCACGCTCCTACGCCAATTTCGCGCAAATGTTCTTATTTAACGCGATACGTGTTTCGGTATGAGGCTCGTCGAAGGGCACTGTTTGTGATAACGCGCCCGGAGGTACGTGCATTCATATGAAACGAACAAATAAACACACATACAGAAACAAGCGAGTACAGTCCTTTCAAGGAAAGTGTGTAATGTAATGACAATGATATCATTACGATTAAGAGTTTGTATCGGTGAAGGCCGTTGTAGGTAATTTCTATTATGGCGCCTGTCTACCTCAGCTATCCTTTTCTCGGAAAAGGAAGGAAGGAGAGGATTTCTTGGGAATCTTATAGATTTAGGAGATTTAGAAGGTAAGCGTTCTTAATGGTAATTCAAAAAATACAAAATTGTGGAAAAGTCGTGAAATCGACTAGTATGAGAAAAAGAGAGAGAGAGAGAGAGAAAGAAATAGAGACGTTCTAAGTTAGTAAAGAAAAGTTAAAGAAGCGTCTCGTAGAGGCATGGATAATTTATTTAGGAACATTTATCGAACTTTATTGTAATACATGTGTATCTACTCGGTAACGTTGCATGCACGTGCGAAGGGCTGCGTCGTAAATAAATGAATCAACGCGAACGATGCGGAGCGTGTATATCACACGTATACAAGCGACATTATGATGTATCGTAAGAAACATGTATAACAGGTATAATAACCAAGTATAAAATTGAAGAACACGGGGAGAGAAAAGTGAAAGAGGAGCGCGCGTAAAATGGTACCAATTGTCACGCGTCTATTGATACCTCGATCGACCGCGATGGCTCGTACTTTATGTCGGTTAACGATCGATCAGCCATGAAAAGTACAGAAACTGCATTCTTGCATGTACATGGGCGTCTTTGGAAGACAGACGGATGAGGAGGATCGTCGAGAAGCGAGCAATCAATGTATACGTAAAACAAAATAATTGCCTGCTTAATTATTAAGGTATGAGATTTCGTTTGTAAAGACACTCTGTGTTCCATGTAGTTGAAAGTATATCTAACCTGTATCGAAACATAGATTACTGTGCAAGAGGTACTATAGAATGATAATTTTTTGAACTAATTGCAAAAGAAAATGGTGATAACATAAGTACAGTAGAAACACGATAAAAATGTGCCAAGCCGCAAAATAGTGTAGTATCGTAGAAAGTAGCGCAGAACGTCATAAGCTTTTAGTGGTTAATCCTCGGAGCATATACACGCATATATACGTATATTTGTATAATCGTTGTACTAATACGCGTATCCAGTCAATTTGATAGTTTAGCTGCCGGTGAGTTTTTCGAGATCGTCCTTTGAGATTCCAGCGACGCCCATCGTTGGTTACACGGCAGACAAAATTAACATAACTATTATATTCTTTCGTACGAATTACAAGCATTGTACTACAGACTGAACTTATCCGAACAATTTCATACGGTGAACGTAATTACCGCGATGCCTGCATCGTTTTGCAATTGGAGTAGCCGTTCAAACGTACTGAGACTGAAGAACGTTCTTTTCTATGTATATGCAAGGAATAGATACATGGTAGAATAGATCTGTAATACCATAATACTGTAGCTAAGGTCAGCAGTATTCACTAGTGAAGGTTACTGAGGGATAAGTGTTACTAGATAAGTGCTACTAGCAGAAAAGTAGTCACAGAAAACGTGTTCTTATAGACATGGGGAACTATGAAGAGGAATATAATATTGCGAAAAAAGAGGAACCGAGCTACAGCAACAGATACCATTAAAATTTACGATCAGTGCTGTCTGATTACATGTAACATCTTTCATATGGCTTTGCTATACTGCAGTATATCCCTAATTGCTTTGCAGTAGGATTTCAACCTCGCCGATATTTTCCAATCCCGTGCTCCCTTCCGTATTTTCCTCTTCAATACTTTCTTGTTCATTTTCTACTTATAATTTCTTTAACAATAGCCAACTATATTTCATGTTCTCCTATTAGTGAGTAAAATTAGCGTCCTGGTTTCTCAAACAAGTCCAGGTAAAGGATTGAGACAGTATTAATTTTAAGTCGAGTAATATCCTTTCAGCAACCGATGCTGGTAGCTATTATTATAACATTGAATACGAGAATTAGTTAAAAGTTAACGACGCCCGATGTAAGTGAAGTCGTCGACCTGCGTGATACTCATCGTCAGTGTATGAATTCTTTTCAATCTGGCATTTTTCTATTCGTTCCTGTATACTATTATTGTGCGTCAATGTTCGAGTTAGCGGGTTACTTTTTTTGTACCGTAATCGGATTTTTCGAGTAACGTCGAACGATACGATGTCGTTTCACTTCGCATCGTTCCATTGGATTTGTCAAACCGATGAAATATCGATCGTGGATGATCGATATGTGTGGGATGCGCATGCATATCATATCACGAGACGAACGAACGGGCTGACGAGTATTTACATATTTCACTGGACAAGTGATTTTCGAATGGAGAGAGTAACCCGGTACCGCTGGTAACATGTACCTATTTTCTAACGAGTGTGTATAATCTATATTGTATATCCGGGCACGCCAGTGTCCTCTTGTGATTGTGAATGAAATAAATAAATCGGTACCATATAGAACTACGTTTCTTGAAAACCTACTCCAATGATTTTTTGTCGATTATTTTTAAACAAAATTAAAATGAATACCTTGAAATCTTATTCATGGTCATCGAGGTCATGTAAATGGCACTGAAGGCCGCTTCAAGGTTGGTGAGTGCCCATCAATCAATGTAGATTTTAATCATTAGAGTATCTAATACAACAGTGAAAGTGAAAGTAAATGAAAAACCATCTGCAACATCAAATGTACTTTTCATTTATTTGACTACTTATCTTTACAGATTAGTCTACCTTATGCTAAGATACAACTTTCCCATTATGTTACCTCTAATCGAAACGTTACGATAATACTAAGTATAAAATAAGCAATAGAGCTTATATTGGTATGTAGCAATGACTTAAGTACCTCTACTTAATAGTACTCTGTTAAAAGTGCCGGGAATTAACCTGCGTCGCCCGTGTCTTCGACGAGACTGACCGACGTATGATGTCGCAGTTACAATTTTGGCTTTCGATCGGAAATCATATTTAGACAAGCATCGAGGTTTCATTTAAAACTGTAATTAATTTTGCAGTCATTTATTCGTCGATCGAACATCGATCCATCTTTGTTTCTTTTATTATTATTATTATTATTTTAATATTTTTTTCTTTTTGTTTCATTTTATGGCGTTCTACGTATCATCTACATCGCGTCGTAAGTTGTGAAAAAGTTAGGCCATATTATTATCTTTCTTCGTATCTCGATTATTTTTCTTTTTTGCATTTCTTTTCTCTACTTCCCCCCCCCCTCCACGCCATAATTTTTCCTTTTATCCTTTTTGCCACACTTCACCCCCAATTTGCTAATCGAACATTCTCAGAGCGAATATTAGGATTCTAAATGCTGGCTTGAAATTACGATTAACAATGGACATGGCGTAACGTGGTGGTGAAATATACATTATGCATACATAGAAAACAATATGCCGCGGAACGATGTTCAGTCTTTGAAGAAATGTAACTGCAGTGATTAAATTGGTTTATTTGTGTTGTGAACCGGATGGGCTTAAGCTTAATCCAGAGCGGATGGCTCGTGTAGCATTACAAATGCTGTACAATTATTTAAATCGTATCGCTTACCATAAGAAACGGACTCACGATTATAAAACACTACTTGACGCAGATGAACTCGATGATCACGTTTAAACAATCGCAGTTCTACATGATTTCGCTACATGTCCTTATTATTCTCTGTGTGTATGTGTTTCTTCTTCATCATCGTATTTTTCTCTGTTTGCATTATTATTAGTTTTAGTTTTCTCTCTACAATCTCGCATATATTGACTTTTATCGATTGATTGGAAAATTATTTCGCGTTCGAGAAGAAGCTCGCAACGACGGTACAGTTTCCCCTTTCACGAAACAATCGTCAAGGATTTCGAATCCAAATTGCACGGATACACGTTTCGATCTTCCTCGCTATCGAATCGATTCCACGTCGTCGTCACGATTTTCTTCAACCGCGGCGCAGTTAAATACTGAAGAGGTTACGATTCTAACGACTAAGCGTCCGAGTAAGTGTTATCCCGTGACATTTATGCGCTTGTCCCTCTCATCCGCCCGTGATTACGCTTAGAACGTTTGGTTAAATCCGTACGTAAGTACTTCTACGGGCAGTTCCGTATGTAAACGAACCGTTTAATCTTCTTGTGTATTTATTTTCTTCCACCTATTTCTTCCTTTACATTTTCCTCTTCCTTTTTTGTATTCTTACCTTTTTGCGTAATTTTTCTCCTAACATCTTGCATATGGTTCGTAATTACCTCGCACTTTCTTGATGATTCACGGTAAATAACGCAAACATCGTCTTTTCTTGGCTCGATTTGGAAACCATCGGACGAACCCTAACTCGTTCTCGAATTGTACAAATCTCTGTTCCTTTTTTTTTTTTTTTTTATTTTATCTTTTTCGTGTTCGCTTTTTCTTTTGTATCGTTCGCGTCTACCGATTCAATTATTATAATATTTCTTAATAAGTACACATGTCAAAATGCATTCACAAACGCGTGTGATGTCAAGAACACTAATCAATTATACCTCGTAATCATAGTAATGGTAATTAATAATAACCATATGAATTAATAATGAGAATAAAGTGTAGTTGTAATAATAATTATATAGGCAAACCTTTGTTGTAGCGTTGTACTTAGCGTTATTTAAAATAGTAGCGTTACTCTTACGTGTACCGAAGTTCGAGTACGGACAGAAAATTGATTTTTTTTTTGTTAACTTCCTTTATATATATTTTTAATATATATATATATAATGTTATATATATATATAGCAATATGGAGGGAATTTACTAACAACTTGCTCGAAAAGTGTAGCATTCTCACACACCTATAAATAAATATAAAAAGTCCTCTTTTTAAAATCTTTTTGTTCTTTTTTTGTTTTGTTTTTTCACTCGTTCTCTCATATCATTTTGTTTTCCTTATCCTCCTTTTTTAAGTTCTTGGTTTCGTTTATCACGGTACATTCTCACTGATTACGCTGCTTCGCACTTGTTAAATGTTTATTTTTGTGCAGACGTGTTAATTTCTCACAAATCTTTCAAATTTGGAAAGTTCGAAAGAACTTGTTCAAATCTCCTTTTTCTCGACCTTCGAAGAGATTGAAATTCGATTGAAAAACACTATGTGAGAAGCAGAGAATACAGCCAGAATGACACGTATGTTTCTTCTTTTCTGTCTTCTTTTTCTCTCTTTTTTTACCCATTTTCATATTTCCCTTTGCCCATTCCTAATTCCATTGTAGCGAAAATAAGGTGTCGATAATACGCGGACTGTACATTAAGTACAATGTGTGAACAGTTGCACGCGTGACAAGCTATCACCACGTGTACGCGAGAAATTAACATTATCCAAAGCACCAGACACGATTCCCTTCCTCGCACACATGCACACACACGCATACAGCAAACGTGCGCATTTATTCCTCCTATTTCTTTCATTTCTCCTTTTTCTCCCTCTGTTTAGCTAGCAAGCTTTCTCATAGACATTCTCTCTTTCTCTTTCCCCACGCGAACAAAACAACACGAACAATCATGCAATAAGCACGCCCATAACGAATAGTAGCGATAATACCATTGTTTAACACGTTGTTGCACACGTAACATTGTCCTATGCGTGTATAAATTGTACGATTAACGAGACCGGCAGCGAACCGGGTGCATGATACAAGAACCAACACTAAAACTTTTATGATAAATCGTTATTACAACTTTACATCGTGACATCTTTTTTTTTCTTCTTTGTTTGTTTGTTTCGCAAGCTCAAGAGTGATTGATCGCTAAAACGACGGCACCATGCACTTACTTTAGATCTACCATGTAGACGGTACTGTAATATGATTTTTTTTTTTTTTTTTTAAGTGTATCGACATCTAAGAAATTCGGGATCCATCGGTAATCCACCACGTTTCTCGTCGCGAATCTTGACTAGATGCATCCTGAGACGTTTACATCTTATATCGTAATTCAGGACAATTTTTCTATTTTAAGAATACATTCTCGTAATCCATCGTGATTAATTTGTCTTTCTTTAATATTAAGTACTTTCCGCGTGGTAATCGCACAGAATCGTATCGAAATTAAGTCTCTATCCTATCGAACGCCACTGTGTAGACTCGCGAGATATCACGTCGCGATGATTACCGACGTGGCCACAAAACTCACGTTCCGGATTATTCTCACTTACGCCACCTTCCCTTTCACGCCAACCTCTTTTCGCGCCCTCGCACACTTTGTCCACCGTTTCTTCGCCACTCTTGCCTCTGACTTTTCATTCCTTCGTTTACGAATACCGTCTGACTTTAATATCACGTCACTGATCGTTACCGAAGAGAAACACATTCCGATCTACCGAGATGACTAAAAAGCGTGCGTGTAAAAAGAACAATCGTTGATCCATTGGATAAAAGCGATTCGCTAGCATACTATACCATAGAAAGTGAACGACATTTTATGCCGATCGGATATCAATCGTAAACAATAAAAGCTGTGCACACACGCGTTTTCTTTAGTTCAGTGATAAACACCGATTTTTATCCAAGAAAGAGTGACTAGCATTCGTGATACAGCGAAACGACGAGTAGACGAGAGTCGCATGGATCATTCGCGATATTGTTATTTCTCGAAAAATTCGTCCTACATTTTCCTCCTACTTCTTCGATGATCCATCCAATTTGACCGATCTTTGCATTTACACATTTATCTCTGTTTCTTTCGTTCTTTGATCTTGCAATTGTTCACGAGGTGCAATCCTAGCCTTTTTCTGTTCCATTCGAATCGTCATACGGGCGACACGCTCACACACGAACGACGTCGATCTCTAGCAATCACTATAGGATCGACGTCAACGAATTCGGGTAAATCCACGTGATTCAGACTCGCTCGTTTTAAAGCCTATTAATAATTCTTCGTCTCTGCTGATTAATTATACATCGCGTGCGAAAATACCAAGAAATATCCTCGCAAAAAGTTAAGCTGGACGGCTTTGATAAAAAATTAGGATCTCTTTCGAAGGACGTGAATATTGGGGAATAGGAAGTGTTTGCGGGATGATAGTAACGATTACGGTGAATAGTATTATATTGTATGTGTGTATGTGCTTGTGTGTATGAGTGGGTATTCCTCGAGATTGGGGCAACCCAGTGCACGGCTCTGCGAAAAAAGCGTGGATCGTCCCTGCGAAAGTGCCTTTTTGTGCAAACGTGTAAAGATTTGAAGATGTGTCTTTTGTGAAGGGATCTATAGGGGGAATTGTGTTTTAAGTACACGTGTACGTGTGTCGTTTACGGTCCTATGTCTCGTAAAACTGAACTCACTAAGTGCTTAGCCAAAAAGTGTCTCATTATCACGAGCAGCAATTACGACATCAGCGCAGAAATACAATTCTCTCCCTCATCTGTCGCTCATTCGCTCGACACCTTAACACGAAATTATCCGTGTACGTATATAATATATAATATATAATA